TGACTTACTTCAACTCATTTTCATTAAATCCAATATATAGGGAAAAGAGTCAAAAATGCACAAATTGGCAAACATTTCGTTTCTTTCCTTTTGTTTTCTAACCAAATAAACCAAAAACTGAAAAAAAAAATATTTTATAGCGAACAGAATGCAAATCAATTACCTCTCAATTGCGGGACGTTTCCACATCCACGGCGGCTGCAATTTGCTTCATTTTCGAATGATTTCTTTCGAAATTTTCAAATTTTCTTCTACGACGGAAAAGCAAACTTCGCCATTTATTTTTTATTTTTTTGTTTTGAGTCAATAAATGGGCTGAAAACTTTAAATTGAGATACACCTTTATTTATTGTTGAGTCAATGCTACTCAAATTCACAAATCACAACTACTCATGCTTTGGCGTTTCAAAAGTAGTTATGAAAATGAGTTTGAGATTTTTGAGTAACCTCAAAGGAGCGTATATGAGGCAGCGACTGTCATTTAGTTTTTTGACGTTTGTTCGCACTTTCTCTATCTAGCACACAGGGATGAATCGGATGAATCATTATTTTTCCTCCTGCTCGCACCTGTTCGAGATAGTGTTTTGGTGCGCTGACCAAACGTCCAAAATTTCAGTTTAGTGGTTTCTTCTCTATGAGCGAGATCTAAAGGTGAGGCATAAGGAAACTAGCTAACTCTTTCTTTCTCTAGATCCGATGCAAACACTGGATAGACACTAGAGTTTCCTTCTGTCTCACCTATAGATCCTGCGCATTAAGTCATACCCGAACAACGTTGTAGATGGAGATATTCTATGCTTTTGGAAAATTAGAAAGCTGCGAACCGCAAGGTATTGTGTGTACCCGCCAGCAACACGCCAAGTGACAATTTTTAACATAGCTGGGCTGACCGTATCTGCACGTCGGTTAGGCATCCACCCTAACAATGTGGATAAAACAATCTTTATTCATGACAATTACAGCATTTGCAAAAATAGAGTTTTGCAGTGAGCATTGGCTTACTGACGAGAATCGGATTTAGTTGCATAAAGGTGAATAAGTGGCTATTTTTTTATTATCCATTTAGCTGTCAAGGCTCAAATGCGTTAGCTTTGCGGAGCCGAATATTGTTTACATGATTGTGTGTGAATATCATTTTCTTAGAACTAATGTTAGTAGAACGGGGGCAGATTACTCGCGGTTTACTCGAGATTAGGGGTAACATTTATTGATCATTTGGAGGGAGGACAAGGGAAAGCATTTTGAACTAATTTAAAACTTAAACGTAAAGGATGACTAAAACACAAAACATTAAACACATACATCAACAGCTTTAAGAAAGTCGTAAATAAGCTTCATCATTGCCCCGTAACGTGGGTAGATCACCTTTTCGTGGTACGTTACGGGATGTAAGATCTACCACCGATTCCTAGTCCCGACTACTTCAAACTAGGGGAACAGAATTTTTCAGTAATCCAAGGAACACATCTTAGTCCTTGTTACTTTTTATGCCTTGTTGATAGTGACAAGACTCGGCTTTGTCTACCAAGGATGATCTTGAAACAAGGCAAAAAATGAGTTAGTTGTCTTCATCTATGTGATTCCTAATCTTCTATCCGTTGTTCCCTAGTTCCTGACTACTTCAAACTAGGGGAACAGGATTTTTCAGTAATAAAAGGAACACATCTTAGTCCTTGTTACTTTTTATGCCTTGTTGATAGTGACAAGACTCGGCTTTGTCTACCGAGGATGATCTTGAAACAAGGCAAAAAAATGAGTTAGTTGTCTTCATCTATGTGATTCCTAAGCTTCTCTTCGTTGTTCCCTAGTTTGAAGTGGTTAAGACTAGGGTTTTGATGCATGGTCATTATCGGAGTCATACCTTAATTTTGTTACTAAGGAATCCAATTTTGACTGACAAAGGGCCACGCCTTTGGAGGGTGTTTCAACACTCCGAAGGGTATAAATAGCGGGACCTTTCAATTAGACTCGGATCCTTGCGATAAATGCAAGAGTGGCAACTGTAAAAAAATCGAATGCTTCATCATTTCTCAATAGTGATGGAGTAATACGACATGCACTAAACTAAGGACACGGGATATACTACAATAGATCAATTTACTGGTCGCAGTAGTGTTAGGTCCCGAACAGAGGAAAAAAAGCTTCATTAAGTCGATATCTGGGCAAGCCAAGACGTCTCTAATTGGCTTAAAGGGTTGTTTTCCTCGGACCCTAAGGGAATCACACAGAACGAATCTCGCCTCATGATGCAAGGAGCAGGACCAAACAACATGCTCGATGTCGTGAAAACCATTTCCACAGGTGCACAAGTTGCTGTCGGCAAGCGTAATACGGAAGAGGTGGGCGTTTAACGAACAGTGATTGGACATGAGCCTGAACATTACACGAATAAAATCACGACTCATATCCAACCCTTTGAACCAGGGTTTGATCGACATCTGTGGGACAATACAATGTAGCCATCTTCCCAGATCACCATCATTCCACTTTTGTTGCCAGTTGGCGAGGACTTGCTGACGAGAAATCGTGAAAAATTCGTGGTAGGCGATTTGTCGCTCGTAAATATCGCCTTCCATAGCGCCCACCTTGGCCAGCGAGTCCGCTTTCTCATTGCCCGGGATAGAGCAATGAGAAGGGACCCATACCAAGGTTATGACATGCGAGCTGTTTGATAAAGCACTCAATGACGATCGTATTTCCTGGAGGAAACACGCCGAGTGCTTCATCGGCCTCATTGCACGCATAGCCTCCAGGGAGCTTAGGCTATCCGTAAAAATGAAATAATGGTCAGGTGGAAGTGAGGCAATACGCTCTAACGTGTACGATATAGCTGCTAGTTCAGCAACGTATACCGAACACGGCTTTTGAAGCTTGTATAAGGCGCTATGAAGATCGTGGAATACTCCAAAACCAGTGGAAGCATTTATACCGACCCATCTTTGAAAAATCTCTTCTCGGTGGGGACGTGGCGGTATTTGTTCGCAAAAATAGTTGGGACAATCAGGGAACGGTGAGGCTCTGGAATTCCTTGAATCTCCTGCCTCATTGTGAGATCGAATCTCACGGAAGAACAACTGAAATGATGGGAGACAGCGCGATTGGGGTTGAACGAGGAAGGGCCGATGTCCAGAGTCATGTACTCATAGTACAAGCTCATGAATCGTGTTTGAGGATTCCGCTCTAGCAGCTTCTCAAAGTTCTCGATCACCAGCGGGTTCATGACTTCACAGCGGATAAGGAACCGGAACGATAAATCCGCAAACCGATTTGTTAAGGGGAGGACGCCCGCAAGAACTTCAAGACTCATGGTATGCGTCGATTGCATACAACCTAGCGCAATTCGAATGCAACGATATTGAATCCTTTGGAGCTTCAATATGTGCGTCCCCGCCGCCGATTGAAAGCAAAAGCTACCGTACTCCAAAATCGAGAGAATGGTGGTCTTGTAGAGTCTTATCAGATCTTCCGGATGGGCTCCCCATGAAGTGTCGGTAATGGAACGAAGGAAATTGATTCGCTGTTGGCATCTCTGCCTCAGATACGCTATGTGTTTTCCCCAAGTGCAGTTGGAATCGAACCAGACACCTAAATACTTAAACGACATGCTGTGAGTGATTGTTCTACCCATAAGTGGCTATTATTAACAACACGTTGATATTTGACTTTTTTTTTTTAAACTCTTACAAGTATTACAGGATTCTACGTACATCCGAAAGATATCATCTTCAAATACATAAACAAAAAGTGATATGACTACAATGGGTGTGAACTCAAATATGTATCAGAGTAATAAAAGCATATAATTTATTGCTATCAACATATTAATAACGTGTAATGCTCAATAAATGAAAGAATTCCTAGGGCCCATTACAATGTTCCGCAATGCAACAGATTGCTTTTAAATACTATCCAACCCTACATAACGTACTTTTCTTATACTTAATAAAAGGGTTGTAACACTTTGCAATATGACACCAACCCCTGCAATTTTAACAAGCACTTGACATACTTTTCTAAAGAAATTCCGCATGCACGGTCAATAAAAACGCCTCAAAATTGAGTAAGAGTTACTCATATTTGAGTTCAGGTTACTCAAATTTTTGAAAACATAGGTCACTCATAGAATGCGTCAATTTTCCGACGGAAAACTTCTCGAATATGAGGAAAACTGATTGTGGTTTTAGTCTGTCCACTATTACACTTCTAACCTGTGTAGAATTTTCTTAAAAAATTTCCCATATTCGAAAAGTTTTTCCCGGTAAAGTGTCGGGAAATTTACTCATACTATGAGTGACCTAAGTTTGAGTAATTTTGAGTAATTTTTGAACTCAAATGTGGGTAGCATTTTTTTCCATGTGCGATTGGTTTAGAAAGTTTTTTTTTTCTTAATCATAAAAAAATAAACTCACGCCGACCAACGCCGCCACGCAGCCGCTGCCTAAAGTAAACGGTGTGACGCCGCCACCCCACCGCCGCCGGCAGAAAACAACATATCACGCCGTCGCCGAAAATATTTTGATCAACGCACAGGTCTAATCATCCGTTCTGATTTTTCTGCATTTCGTGGAAGAATGGACTTATTCAGCAGCAACATGATTGAAGATTTTGCTTTGCACCATTACGTATATGTAATAGGTTTCCAGGGATTTGTGTTTTACTCAAAGGCAAAACACCAACACAAAGGGGAAATTTCCTAAATTAATTTTGAGTCGATACTTTCACCGTGCCGAATAATGAACCAATGGGGAGGAGGGAATTTCCTGGAAGAGACCTATTTTCCGACAACAAGATTTCGCTTGAAAAGATACCAATTAGGACTACCGTGATTGCGAAAAGGGTGATAAGGAAATACATTTTTTCCTCAGTACATACTGTGATTTCGGATTCCCAGCAAAAAAAAAAAACATTTCAAATTGATATTTTATAATAAGAAAATCTTTACTAAACCAATCGATTAAAAATGTACGCTTCGTTCATACTTATTTAACATATTCAGCGTAACTCTGTCTTTCAATTTTCACAACCCTGTAATACAGAGTTGCTTGCACGTCACTTTAAAATATAAAATATTTTCGGAGTTATGATCTCGTTTTATATAATTATAATAATAATATTTTTTGTATTATTCTATAGTATATATTGAAATTATAATGATATTTGTACTTGTAAATTAAAAGATTGGATTGAAAAGCATGCATTTGACTCATAAAACCTGTCATTTTTGCTTTCAGCGAGTCACAATCTGCGATTTTATGTATCATAAAATCGCTGCTTGTGACTTTATGAAAGGTAAATATACAGGCTTGATGTGGTAAACACATATTATACAACCTCTTCTTGTAATTTAAAAGTACAAGATATCATTATAACACCTAATGGTTTCATAAATCGGAAAAAAATTATACTTAAAAATGAGTGGAAACAATCCTGCCCTATATCAACTTTTCTATCAATTCTTTCCTCGGTTTTATCACTAGATAAAGTAGCTGCATTTCTGTAACTTAATTTTCCTACGAGAAAATTCAAGCACAAATTTTGATTCAACTTCCACTAAAAAGCCAATTTTAAACTAAATCTTTCGGCAAAAGCAAAACGCATTCACTAATTTCTTTACATTTTTGTACCGCTCTGAGGAGTATTCAAATGCGATTTCTCTAGCTCTTATGTCAACACAAACACTATAATTATTCAGTGATTATAAGTTATCAGATAGAGTATGTATAAATGTAATAAACTTGCTGCTTCTGTTGTTCATTTTTAATGCCTAAAACGGCAAGAATCACGTATCCTCCTTCAGCTGCTCCTCACTCCTCTGGCTTTCATCAATTGCTTCTGATTGGTCGCTGCTGTTGTTGGTGGGTCTGGAGGTGCGTCGAAACGAGCACATCTACAGTTCTCCGGAGCATTCCGGCAATGACATCGGCCGTGGTCGCCAGCTTGTTACCGATTTGGTTGAACAGGCCAACGAAGGGGCTCGCGTTCGGATTGGCCGGAAGTCCGCCCTGACCGGGTGGAATAAAAAAGTTATCGATAACATTATTCGGTGTGGTCATGCCGCCGGCAAAGGATGAAGAGGTAGCTTGTGATTGTGCTGGTGCTGGTGCTTGTGGTTGTGGTTGTGGCTGAGGTTGTGCAAAGACTTGAACCTGGCCCTGGACGGGCTGCGGACGGAACGGAACTTCTACCACCGGTACCGAATCAACCTGCTGTTGGGGGTGGATAGAGGTAAGAAAAAAAAATTTCGAGCCGGAAGAAACATAAAATCAGAAGGCAAAAAAGAGAAAAATCCAAAACAGACAATCTGGACGTGCGAACATTGTGCTGTGTGTGCATTGGAGGGCAGTGTGTAGTGTTGTGTCGGTGTGGGTTTGATGAGTAGTGTGCGTGTAAATATGGTGCCACATATGGTTAGTAGTTGGTCAAACTGTGCACTTATTCATTTTCCTTTAATTTCGGTTTATTTATATTCCATTTAGCACAATGCACATTAAAATCTTACCTGTGTACTCATTTTGAGAGGAGTCAAATTTAGAGATAGTTTATCTTGCTGGAAACTAGTCTAAAGAAATTCCATCATATCAGCATCGTATTAAAATTCAGTGGAAAAGTTGGAAGAAACTTCTGAGAGAAATCAAACGTTTTTTCAAACAAGCTCAAAAAAACTTCTAGCGGATGTCGAACAAAATATTCCAGGGAAAGTCTAAAAAATCCGAAGCAAATACATTCTATTCAACTTAGTAGGTGTAAAAATTGTTTAATATATTAGCGAAACATATGTAATGCTTTATAAATATATCGGCATTTACAATGCAATCAATAACTTTCAAAAAATACCCCTGGTCACAATACAAAAATATTAGCCGATCCTCATGAATTCCCGGGAAGAAGCATCAGAAATTTTCCGATTATTGGGTACTAAAAATGAACTGGAATTTACTTTGAAACCTTAAATAATCAAGAAGGAAAAGAGAAAAGAGATAGCAGGTGAACAATCGTAATACAATCATTGAAAGATTTCGAGATTTTCTCTAAACTCCACAAGTAATACGAGTTTTTCTTAGGTATTCACCCCCTCAAGATATTGGAAAAAAAATACCATTTTTTCTGGCCTAATAAATATTCTAAAATAGTATTTTTCTCTGTCCTGAATGATCATTGAAATCAACAATGGGAAAACCTTACTGAATGATTTATACTTACTTCAAATCAAAAATATGTACGCGAATTGTAAATCGCTGAATAACGGTGCAACGGTAGTGAAACGTCATTTCAAGCAGAAAATTGCATTAGGTCCTATAGTCCTATACTTATAAGTAACATTGATCGATTCTCTTCGTCGACCTTCTCTTTCGTTAATATCTTGAGCACATAACCTTGTTTTGTTTGTCATATTAGATGCTAGATAAAAGCTTCTTTTATAGATCTGTGTGCTGAAAATACCTGCGAACGTCTTTACATGGCCGTGCGAATACAAGGAGAAATTCGACGAAGAGAACCTGTCAATTAGGGTGTCCCAAAATTGCACTATGTTTGGAAATCTGGAGGCTCACCCTCCAAATGATAGCTAAGGCTGTTACAAACAAACTTTTGTATGGCGGCAATTCTGGGAAATGTTGTTTAGAGGTCGCCCCGACGAGATTTTTGGAAAAAGTCCATTTTTCATAGCTATTATCCAATAAATATTTTTAGTTCTTTAAATTTCAGTGAAATTTCACCCTTTTATATTTTTCGCAGATTTCCAAGGGTCAAAACTATAAAAGAAAAAATGGCTACGGCATGTTCTATGTCCAATTTGTTAGTTAAAATTTTTCAAATTCTCTAAAATGATGTTTTTTGTTGTCCATCACTGCATTCAATCATCAAAAGTGGGGTTCACGCTTATGTTGAAGAAGTAACTTAACCGCATCCTACACATCTTCAAAGCTGGCAATAGCTCTGATGTTTCTTCTTGAAGGCCTTACTTTGGCGTTGCCATGTCACAACGAGCTTGGCAACCCTCCTAACAACGTTCCGCTTGAGCTGGTGCGAAAGTCCGGCTTAATTCCAAATCTCCACAGCTTTGGTAGCCACAACTTGCATGCTTTATCCAATTGAAAGTTGTTGGGTTTCATGCTTGAATCGAAAGAACCTGATGATGTTCAACTCCGACGACAAATGGTTTCTGGGCAAATGCTTCCCCGCAATACCGGTGATGAGATCCGACTTGAGCTTGGTTTTTGGTGACATGAATTTCTTTTTTGGTTCTGCTTGCTACGGAAATCAAATGAACAACTAATAAATTGTGTGATCTCTCTCCGCTCATATATCCTCCTATTGAATTCTAGAAACTTCAAAACAAATGTTATCAAGTGATTTGCAACAAAGTAGGTGATTTGTATTTATCGATTTCAATGATAGTTTGATTTGCTGGTGGACATAGGGGAAACGCTCCTATAGTTGCGGTACGTTAGAAGCGTTAGGTTCCTATAGTTTTGTACGGAGTCTCCATACACAACTATAGGAACCTAACGCTTCTAACGTACCGCAACTATAGGAGCGTTTACCCTACTGCAAGTATTGAAATTCTGAACTTTTCTTTCCACAGTAAATCACGAATAACTTTTTAACGGTTAAAAATGCAGTTAAAGTATCTTAGACAAAGTTTTTGCTTATAAAATTTCCCATATATCTATTGTATTTGATTGATAATAGCGCTATGATTGAATGCAGTGATGTTCAACAAAAAACATCATTTTAGAGAATTTGAAAAATTTTAACTAACAAATTGGACACAGAACATGCCGTGGCAATTTTTTTTTTCTTATAGTTTTGACCCTTAGGAATCTGCGAAAAATATAAAAGGGTGAGATTTCAATGAAATTTAAAGAACTAAAAATATTTATTGGATAGTAGCTATGAAAAATGGACTTTTTTCAAAAATCTCGACGGGGCGACCTCTAAACAACATTTCCCAGAGTTGCCGCCATACAAAAGTTTGTTTGTAACACCCTTAGCTATTATTTGGAGGTTGAGCCCCCAGATTTCCAGACATAGTGCAATTTTGGGACACCCTACTGTCAATGTTACTTAGGTCCTATGCAATGTTCAGCTTGATTTGACGAAATGACCCATACGGGTAATTTTTTGCGGCAAAATGTCTTCTGACTACATAACCTTCGGCAAAGAAGCCATCGGTGAAATGAACTTCGGTGAAATGAACTTCGGTGAAATGAACTTCGGTGAAATGAACTTCGGTGAAATGAACTTCGGTGAAATGAACTTCGGTGAAATGAACTTCGGTGAAATGATCCTTTCCGGTTTGAACTCCAACATCAGGGCGATGGGGTGTCTATAAAAACTTGATGATTTTTTGAAAGATTTTGAAGTAGCAGGTTGGAGGTTGAACTGCAACAAAATGGCGTTTTTATAGTTAATTCATAGGTACTAGATGATTTTTCGGGAGAATTTGAGGCAGCAGCAGGACGTAGAGGATAACTACAGATCTCTTCCCCTCCCCCTTGATTTTAAAGTAGCAGGAGGACGATCTACAAGGTGATTCAGAATAACTGTCACCGATTTCACAAATATGCCATTCTCAATGGGTTAAATGGGTATATGTTCAACTATTTTCGTTTTAAAGTGTGTACAAATACACTCGAACCTCCATTTACGAACCAAACCGGGGGTCCGTAAATCGAATTAGTGCGTAAAAAAACTCGTTATTTGGTATTTACTTCGTAAAAAAAGGTTTTGAAATATTGTCACAATATTGGTTATTTTGGAATCGGATTGATATGTAGGAACCGGAAATTCATTTCTGACGCCATTTCGAAATCAAAAATTGTGGCATCCGGTTAGTGTGTGATTTTGGAATCTGGACCAGAAATCGATGTCTGACGCCATTTTGAAATTCAAGATGGTGGCTTCCGGGTTCAGAAAATCTGTAAAATACTGTTAAATACCCCACAATATGGGTATTTTGGGAACCGGGGTGACGTGTAGGAATCAAATATGGTGGCTTCCGGTTACAGAAATGCTTGGAATTCTGTCAAATACCCCACAATATGGGTATTTTTGGAATCGAGGTGAATTGGATTTCAAAATGACCATGCATTTCCGGTCCGTACACGTCGTCCCAATTCCAAACATACCCTAATTTTGGGTCATTAAACAGTATTTTTCTATTTTTCTCAAACCGGAAGCCGCCATATTGGATTTCAAAATGGTGCCAGGCATGGATTTCCAGTTCCTACACGTCACTCGGGTTTTAAATTATTAACAGTATTTTTTTTCTGTTTTTCTGTAACTGGAACAGCCCACCTTGAATTTTAAAATGGCGTCAGACATCGATTTCCGGTCCCTACACGTCTTCCTGATTCCAAAAATATGTACCCATATTGCAAGGTATTTCACAGCATTTCCTAGTTTCCCAAAATCGCAAAACAAAGCTGGTTGTTTGGAATTTACTTCGTAAAAAGAGGGACGTAAATTGAATACGCCTTAAAAAAGACTCCGTAAACGGAGGTTTTAGTGTATCAGCTTAAATTTATAGTAGGTTGAAATGTCATTCGTTTGCAATTTCAAGCAGCCATGGACGTGAAAAGCAAGCATGTATAAATTCATGTGTTATCTTTTAGAAAATGAAACATTTATTTTCCGCATAATTATAGAGGTAACAAGGAACCATGCGTGGAAAATCCGTTTAATATCAGAGCTTAGACGCATCACCAGGACTCAAAAAGTGCTGGAACTAAATCGTGCGTAACAGTAATACTTTGCAAGGTTGAACTGCAACAACAATGTGTGTAAGGTGTCTTTCAAAATATCATGATTTCTTTGATGTCCTGCTACTTCAAGGATGGCGTTTAGAATGACTACAGATCAGATTGACTATTAATATCCAAGGGTGAAGTCAAGTTTCGAGCTAGGGAGGGGCGAAAAAAATGTCTATGGAGAATTTGGCCGAATACCATTCCACCGAACGCCATTTCACCGAAAGCCTTTGTGTTGCTGGGTTTAGGGGGGGGGGGACAGTTCCACCCCAGCCCCTTCTGGCTACGCCTATGTTAATATCATACTAATATTTTAGGTGGTTGATCTGCAACAACAGGTGCCTAATGAAATTTCTTGATTTTTTTGATGATTTACTACTTCAAGCAAGACGGCTTGAAGAAGTTAAGGATGATTTCAATTCACCAAAAAAATGTGGTATAGTTAGTGATGTAGT